TCTTCTTAAACCAGTCCCCTTAGCATATCTTGGAGTGCTGGTTTGGTAGAGATGTATTCTTTAAGCCTTCTCTTGTCTGGGAAACTCCGTATTTCCCCTTCTATTTTAATTGAGAGCCTTGCTGGGTAGAGCAGCCTTGGCTGTAGACCCTTGCTTTTCATGACTTGGAATATTTGTTGCCATTCCCTTCTGGCTTGTAGTGTTTCTGTTGAGAAGTCAGCTCCTAGGCGTATCGGGGCCCCCTTGTATGTTTATTTTCTCCTTCTCCCTTGCTGCCTCGAGGATTCTCTCTTTGTCTTTGACATTTGCCATTTTAATGATGATGTGTCTTGGAGTGGACCTCTTTGAGTCCCTCTTGAGTGGGGTCCTCTGTGCCGCCTGGATTCACGAGAGCCTTTCTCTCCTCAAATTAGGGAAATTTTCCATCATTACTTTTTCAAGGAGGTTCTCTATCCTTTGATCCTCTTCTTCTCCTTCTGGTATCCCTATTATATGGATATTATTGCATTTCAGGTTGTCCTGCATTTCCCTAAATGCCTCTTCATTCTTTTTGAGCCTTTTTCCCATTTCTTGTTCTTTCTGGGAGCTTCTTTCTACCTTATCCTCCATCTCACTGATTCGATCCTCGGCTTCATCCAGCCTGCTTTGGATTCCTTCTACTGTGTTCTTCAATTCAGAAATGGTATAGTTCATATCCTCTTGTGTCTTCTTGATAGTTTCTATGTCCTTTTCCAGGTTGCTATAGTGTGCTGTAAAATCCTGCTAGTTTCTCTGCAGTTTCTCATAGTTCTCTTTGAGCTGGCTGAGCTCATTGAGCTTCCTTAGAACCATTGTTTTGAATTCAGTATCTGATAGTTCCCTTGCCTCTATTTCAGTTAGCTCTCTCTGTGGGGAGTCCCCTTTTCCACTCATTTGGGGGGGAATTTCTTTTTCTTCCCATTATTGTGAGAGTCTGTTAAGTAATTTACTTATTTTTTTATTTATTTTTGCATCTGTTTCAATTGGGCTGTCTAGATTTCCTGACTTTGTGGATTAATCTTCTCTAGTTGTAGGTGGATCTTTTTTTTTAGTATGTATGTATGTATGTATTTATTTATTTATTTATTTATTTATTTATTTTTCCCTTTACTTTTCTTTCTGGGCCTGCCTCTGATGATGTCAGTTGTTGACCCTATATGACCTTGGGTTGTTTGTTTGAGCCTTCCAGGGCTCTCCTGTCTGTGTCTGACTCCTGCTTGGGGCAGCTCTGTGACCTCTTCGGTAAGGGCTGGACTATTTTTTGGGATTGCTCTGCACTCTCTCACTGGCTCCTTGATCACGCTCCTTGGCGCGGGGCAGGATCCCCCACCCACCTGGGCTAATGAGTGCCTGCCCCAGGCCAGGGGGCTTATTTGCAACCTCGCATACTTGTCTGGCCCCGCTGGCAGGCGAGCTCCCCGGCACTGGTCAGTTTAGGGTCTTCTATTGTGTGTTTTCCCTGCTTCTGGCTTTTTGGGTGCTTTGCTTGCCCTCGCCAAATGGAGACTACAGAAATGGGAGGAAGTCAGCCCCAGGACTCTCCGGTTAATCCTGTCTCCTGTCTCTCCTCCAGGGACTCTGGGCAGCTCTGTGACCCTTTCGCCCTGGATCTACTATTTTTCTGAGCCGCTCCGCAATCACAGGCCGGATGGGTCAATTTACACCTACCCTTGCCGCTCTGTGCACTCCCTTGCAGGCCATTTTGGTGCCAATCTGTGGGAGGCCTTGCCGGCCGGTGCAAGCTTTCACCAACCCTCGCCGGTCACTCATCGCAAGTGCGTGCACCTGCACTGGGTGGTTTTGGGGTGTCTATGTGTGCTTTTCGGCTTTTGGCTCTTTGGGGATGTGGCCTCTTCCCGCACAAGGGAGACTACGGCAAGGAGAAGGAGTCGGAACTCCCCGGTTCCGCCTCCCGTTCGTTTCCCAACGCCTCCGTTTCTAGTCTCTCTTCAGGGGTTTCCGGGCAGTTCCGTGACCCCTTCAGCCAAGAATCCACCCCCTGTATGGACTGCGTTTCAATCGCGGGCAGTCTGGTTCATGCGCCTCCTGCTTCTGCCTCTTCGGGGTCACGCCTTTCCAGCCCACAATGGAGACTACAGAACGGGGAGGGAGTCAGGACTCCCCGGTTCCTCCTCCTGTTCTTTCCCCAACACCTCCGTCTCCAGTCTCTCCTCAAGGCTCTCGCAGCCAGTCTGCATTCAGCCCCCCAGCTCACATGCACAAGCTGTGTTCGGGGTGCACAAAAGGCAGGTTAATTGATTCCCTTATGCCTGAGCGAGATGGGAGCTGCAGAGTGGGAGGTGCCTCTTCACCGGGGCTCCACCGGTCGCCATGTCAGTTCTCTTCACAAAGTTTTCCTCACCAGTCTTTTCCCAGGCACCAGCTCACCCTGCTGCCGCCTCTACCCAGAGGATCAGGGAGGGTGGCTGCCATTGCAATTTTTGCGTTGGCCCTTTAAATGTCTCTTTGCATCCCCAGCCACCTGTCTCTGGCAGAGAGCACCCCTAAGCTTTTTGGGGTTGGTTTTGTCTGTATTTTCTTGGTTTTAGCTGCTGTAGTTTAGTGTAGTCCCTGTTTTTGATTCAGGCCCCGTTCTTCTCGGGGGAAGCTAACTGGCCGTTTCAATGGCCCTCTGGTGCTAGTGCCCGTGGGCACCCAGCCCACCCTCTCGAGCCTCCACCGCACTTCTCACCCGTTGGGATGTGTGAGAGTCGAATCCACAGTCCGCGGCTCCAAGGTTCCTCTCCCACTATAGTTCCATTGTTTTCCAGGTGATTATTCCACTATTTAGTCACAATTCTAGTTGGGTCTGGGGAGGAGGTCAGCGTGACTCCCATTCACTTCTCCGCCATCTTAATCCTCCCCTCAAATTCTTTATGTCAGGCTGTGTAGAGCCCCATGCTTGCTTTTCCAAATCATAATGGAATTCAGATTTCAGAAATCTCTTTTTATCAGCATTCTCTCTTCTTTACAGGTAAAAATCACAGAAAATATAAATAAAGTGCATTTAGTGCTCATATCAAGTTGAGGATTTCCAGGAAGGAAGAGGTCCTGCAGGAGACTGAAGAGCACTAGAGGAGGGGGTTGTTTCTAAATGGGTCACTCTTTTCATTTCCAAAGAGAAGTCATCAGTCTATTCACTGGTTGGGAGGAGACAAATAATGTGCTTTGCTTGAACACATAATGTAGCAGTTGCCAGGACTTTATTCACTTTTAACTTAATTTTATGTGTGAGTATTTAGTACTTGGAAATGATACATAATTCAAAATCATATGTAGAAAATTGAATTTTCCCCCTTCCATCCACATCTAGTAGCTACCCAGTTTTCTTCTAGAGAGGCCCACGGGTTCAAGGGCTACAAGCCATTTTGTGTTATCCTCTTTTTATGTAGAGGGGGGCTTACACTACTACACTGTTCTGAACTTTGCATATTTACTTCTCAATATACCCTGGAGATCACTCCATACTCATACAGTTTATTCCCTTTTTTTCCCATAGCTATAAAGTATTAGCATTTCAGTTCTTTCTAATCATTGGCCATTATAACTAATAACTTTATAGATATGCAGTTTTGCATGTGTGCAAGTAGAGATGTGTAAAAAAAAATCCTTGAGAGAGACTTGCTGAGTCAAAGTATTTATAGTTTTGATAAGAACAAATTGCTCTAGTCTCCCAGTGCATTTTGAAAAGCTAGGCTAACCAGGAGGGCTGGGCCTGTGGGGAGAGATGGAGTACGTGCGGTCTTCTCCAAGTATGGACTGCCATAGGTCAGAAGTCATCTACGAATTCTCTTCAGGGCAAAAGATAGAAGGGTTGATACATTAGTGCTGAAAGACAAATATGGAAACAATACTGTGAAGACAACAAGCAGTTTTTTGGCCATCACTGATTGGTTATATATACTACTGAAATGAATGGCAAAAATGCACTCTGGGACATGGATGGAAAGGTGGTGTGCCCTGGATGGCATGATTGACTTCATTCACTGCAGGACTGATGATCCTCCAACAGCAAAACCACTGACAGCTCATAAAGTCATTGGGATAAACCATAAATTCAATGTGAGTGGCACTCCAGAGCAATATGTACTTTATTTCACCTCTAGAGATTCAAGAACGGGTCCCACCTTTAACATCTTAGAAGTAAAGACAATAAAAAACAATTTAAACATATAAAATATGGGGCTTTTCATATAACACTTTTACTGCTTACTCATAACTTGATTAAAATTGATTAAAAAATCAAATTGCTGCTCTATAGAGATTGAAATTGATTTATATTTCTTTCAGGAATGTACGATACACTTTTTTTTTTACTTTTCCTCCCACAAAGTGTGTTGCTTTTTTTTTTTTAATCTCTGTCTATCTGATAGGTGGAGAAGGGTATTTCTGGAGGAAATAGATGGAGGGATATGAGAAAATAAGACTTGCTAGCAGTTCAAAAATGTTGAAGCTGGATGATGGTTACAGGTAAGGGAAGTTCACAGTATTATTCTGTCTAGTTTAGTACAGACTTGGAATTTTCCTTAGTAAAAAACTTGTTAAAGAGTCATTTCTTTATATTGACTTTTCCAAGACCTGCCTATATAAATTCTTTTCATATTTTTATATTAAATTATTAAGATATTTTCTATTGATTTATAAGGGGTATTTCAAATATTAGGAAAATTAGCCCTTTATTTGTAAAATAGTTCCTACATATTTTTCCTGCTTTGTTCTTTAACATTTGAACTTTCAAAGAAAATTATTTATTTGAATTTAACAAACTTTGTTTTATGATTTCTATGTGCTATATAAAATTAGAAAGACTGTTCCCATGTCAAGATTTTCTTTAATTTTATGTGTTCTGTTTAGTATTTTCACTGTTTTAACCACTTTACATTAAAGCTATTCTAGATCAAGAAAATGAATGGAGAGCACAAGCGCACTTAAGAGTTCTCCGTGCCCACGTGTGAACTTTCCCGGCAACTTTTTCGAGAAAAATGCCCAAATTCAAGGTGGCTCGCGGAGTGAGGGGTCAGGAAAAACACGCACCCCTTGCCGAGCAGATTCTGGCTGGCGACGCGGTGCCGGCAGGGGTCCGTGAAAAGCGGTAGGGTCGTGGAACCGAGGGAGATGAAGAGTATATAGGGCCCCGGTTGACCCGACGGATTTTGCAGCAAGCTCGGCAGCAGCAGGAGCTCGAGGCCGAGCATAGGACTAGGGGAAGGCCCGCGGCGCCACGGGAGCGCATCACGCGGCTGGGTCCAGGAGTGCCACAAGATGTATCAGATGACGAGGATGAAGAGTGGCCTACCCTGGAGAAAGCTGCCACAATGACAGGGGTGGGCCACCATACAGAGGTGGTCGTGGACCCTGAGGATGAGCGTGCCATTTAGATGTTTATGAATAAAAACCCTCCTACCAGGCGCACCCTGGCTGACATCATCATGGAGAAGCTAACTGAGAAGCAGACGGAAGTTGAGACAGTCATGTCCGAGGTGACAGGCTTTCCTGTGCCCCAGCTGGACCCCCAGGTCCTGGAGGTCTACAGAGGAGTCCGGGAGGTGTTATCTAAATACCGCAGTGGGAAGCTGCCCCAGGCATTTAAGATCATCCCTGCACTCTCCAACTGGGAGCAGATCCTCTATGTCATGGAGCCCGAGGCCTGGACTGCTGCTGCCCTGTACCAAGCCACAAGGATTTTCGCCTCTAATCTGAAGGAACGCATGGCCCAGTGCTTCTAAAACCTTGTCCTGCTCCCCCGGGTACGAGATGACATTGCTGAATACAAACGACTAAATTTCCACTTCTACATGGCACTCAAGAAGGCCCTGTTCAAGCCTGGGGCCTGGTTTAAAGGGATCCTGATCCCACTGTGTGAATCGGGGACCTGTACCCTCCGGGAAGCCATCATCGTGGGTAGCATCATCACCAAATGCTCCATCCCTGTGCTGCACTCCAGTGCGGCCATGCTGAAAATCGCCGAGATGGAATACAGCGGTGCCAACAGCATCTTCTTGCGACTGCTGCTAGATAAGAAGTATGCACTGCCCTACCGGGTGCTGGACGCGCTGGTCTTCCACTTCCTGAGGTTCCGAACGGAGAAGCGCGAACTGCCTGTGCTCTGGCACCAGTGTCTCCTGACTTTGGTCCAGCACTATAAGGCAGACCTGGCCACAGAACAGAAAGAGGCCCTCCTGGAACTTCCCCGGCTGCAGCCCCATCCACTGCTGTCCCCTGAGATCAGGCGTGAGCTTCAGAGTGCAGTCCCCCGAGATGTGGAAGATGTTCCCGTCATCATGGACTGAGGAGACAGTCACTCATCCTGGTCTGAGGGGCGTGGGAGGACCACAGGATCCTTGTTTGGTGACTAAAGGTGGCACAGCCTTTACAGCTGAAGACCCACATTTGGGCAGTGATGGCTCACGGGTATCTGTGACTCCCCAGTACCTGACAGGGAGGACTGTGGTTCTGGCTGGCCCCCTCGTCCATTCTAGGCCATTGTTCCTGCTCAGTTCTGGAACCTCTTTGAGTACTTTTCTTTCAGGCTGTGGTGTCACGTCACTGGGATGTGTATAAAAAACTAGTTATTTATTGGGAAAAAAAAGAAAAAAGAAAAGAAATGGAGCTAATATTTGAGACAGAGATCCAGTTTTTTATTATTTATTCTTAATTATATCTTATTGATTTTGCTAGTACAATTGTCTTGATTTTTCCCCCCATGCCCCTTTCCACCCAGCACCCCTCTCTCCCTCAAGCTATTCCCACATCATTGTTCAAGTCCATGGGTCATATGTAGGTTCTTTAGATACTCCATTTCCTATACTGTATTTACATCCCCATGACTATTCTGTAACTACTTGTTTGTACTGTTTGATCTCTTCACCTCTTCACCTATTCTCCCGTACACCCTTCCCATCTGGAAACTATCAAAATGTTCTCGATATCCATAATTCTGTCTCTGTTCTTGTTTGCTAGTTTGTTTCTTAGATTCAACTGTTGATATATATGTATTTTTTTGCCATTTTATTGTTCATTCTTTTGATCTTCTTCTTTGTCTTGAACAAGTCCCTTTAATATTTTGTATAATGATGGTTTGGTGAGGATGAACTCATATAGTTTTCTCTTGTCTGGGAAGCTCTTTATCTTCCCTTCAATTTTAAATGATGTTTTTGCTGGGTAGAGTAATCTTGACTGACTGTAGGTCCCTGCCTTTCGTGACTTTGAATATTTCTTGTCAATCCCTTCTAGCTTGCAAACTTTCTTTTCAGAAATCAGCTGACAGTCTTATGGGAAGTCACTGTAGGTAACAAATTGCTTTTCTCTTGCTACTTGTAATATTCTCTCTTTATGTTTGACTTTTGACATTTTATTTATGATGTATATTGGAGTGGGCCTCTTTGCATTTATCTTGTTTGGGACTCTCTGTGCTTCCTGGACTTGGATGTCTTTTTCCTTCAACAATTTAGGGAAGTTTTCTTTCATTGTTTTCTCAAATAGATTTCCAAATTCTTGCCCTTTCTCTTCTCCTTCCGGTGCACCTATGACGCAAATACTGGAACACCTGAAGTTGCCCCAGAGGCTGCTCACCCTATTCTCTCTTTTTTTGGATGCTATTTTCTTCTTATTCTGATTGGTTGTTTTTTGCTTCCTTATGTTCCAAGTCATTGAGTTGATTCTTGGCTTTCTTCACTCTACTGCTGTTTCCCTGTAAGCTGTTCTTTATTTCAGTTAGTGTATCATTCGTTTCTGAATGGATCTTTGTACACTGTTGAGGTCCTCACCATGCTCCTTGAGCATCCTTATAACCAGTGTTTTGAACTCTGCATCTGATAGATTGCTTACCTCCATTTTGTTTACTTCTTTTTCTGGAGTTTTGATCTGTTCTTTCATTTGGGCCACACTTCTTTGTCTCCTCATTTTGGCAGCCTCCCTGTGTTTGTCACTGTGTATTAGGTAGAACTGCTATGATGTTCTGTCTTGGTAGCATGGTCTAATGTAGGTGTTCTGTAGAGTCCAGTGGCTCAGCCTCCCCTATCACCCAAGCTGGGTACTCAAGGTGCACCCTTTGTGAGGGCTGAGTACAGCCTCCTCTTGTAGTCGAACCTTGGTTGCTGTTTGCACATCAGTGGAAGGGATTTACCCAGACCAGCCAGCTGCAAAGATTGTCTGCAACCACTGACCACCAACCTCTGCCTTCAGTGGAGGATCAGCTGTGCAGGGGCACAGTGGCAGTGCTCCAACGTGGACTGTGGCTGTCCACTGGGTGCACTGGCCCTGAGGTTTCCTGGGTGGTGCAGGCCAAGGTCAGCCCCAACCTGTATTTTGCTCAGGACCACCCTGCCTGAGCTATAAAGCAATCTGAGATGGCTGCTACTTGTGCTGGGCTTAGAGATTCCCAGGTGCAGTGAAGCTGTGAACCTAGGCTGGTTGCTGCTAGTGCTGGGGCTAGTGCCCCTTAGCAAGAGGTACAGAGCCAGGAGGCTCACTGAGGCTCTGTTGCTTGTTTGAGAGGATTTAGGAAGTTGTGGAGCATGAGCCAAGACCAGCGATTCATATGGAAAACGAGCTTGGGTGGGCCCGTGAGTTGGGTGGTGCGTAGTGTGTGAGGATCTCCAGGGCAGGGCTAACAGTGTTAGCTAGGTTGGTGGAGTCTCAGATATGGCACCTGTCTGCTGGCTCTGTGGCTCTGTGGCTGTGTGGGGAGGGCTCAGAAAAGGGACAATGGCATTTGCCTGCCTTTCTGTCTGGGAGAAAGCTCTCCCCTGGCTCTCCCCTTGATTCCAGACACTCAGTTCCTCCCTCTATGCCACTGGTGCCTTTCAAGCTGCTACTCCAGTGCTGGAGCCTGAATGAGTGGATCTGAGTAAGTCCATGTGTGGGTTCTTTAAGAGGAACTGCTTGGGACTCCAACAGTCTCTTTCACCAACTCAATCCCTGTTGGTTTTTGCCGCCAGAAGTAATGGAGGTTTATCTTCCTGGTACTAGAATCTGGGGCTGGGAGGGGCTTGTTGTGGGGCTGGGACTCCTCACTTCCAAAATATCCCTCCCTAATTTTTATTCACCATATGTGGATATGGGACCAATCCATTCCTTGTCTGTGCCCCTCCTACCAGTTCAGATGGATGTGGTTTCTTTAATTCTGTAATTGTCAGACTACCATTCAACTCAATTTTCAACAATTCCAAGTGATGGCTCTTCTATATTTCAGTGGTAATTTCAGTGTAGTTGTATGAGGACATGAGCTATGTTTACCTATGCTGTCATCTTTACTGGAAGTCACGGATCCAGTTTTATTCAATGTTCATCTTGTTGTCCTAACATCACTTATTATTACAACATCCATTTATTCTTCATGGATTTCACATTCCTGTTATCAAACACTGGAATTCTGGTGGTATTAGGGACTACTCATTCACCAATGCCTCCCACAATTTATCTGGTTGGAAGAGTTAAAACCCATCATTTATTTCTCTTATCTAATTGCATTGGCTAGCACCAACAGGATACTAAATAATAATGCTAATTGTGGATATTCTTTTCTTGTTCCTAACTTTAATGAGAATATTTATATTTCCCCATGAAGCATAATGCTAAATTTGAGGTGGAAATAGGTATCTTTCATTTTAAGGAAGTATACAGGTATGGCTCATATCAAACTAAAGTATTCAACTATTGCTAATTTCCACTCCAGATTTTCAGTAGCTTAAACAAATAAAAGTAGGGTTTTGGTTTGGTTTGGTTTGGTTTTGATTTGTTTTAATGACTCAAATGATAGCCCACCATTGATCATAGAGCACTACAAGGGCTCTGCTCTCTGCTGTCACTCAGGGACTCATGCTCCTTCTCTATACTGGTTCTTACATCTCTTAGAGCCTCAGAAGCCTCCTAGAATCTCTGCATATGGATGGAATAAAAGAGGAGAAACATGTAGGCAATTGTGTGGGAGATGTTCACAGGCCAGGCCTAGAAATGTCTGATATCATTTCTTTTCACACTTCATTGAAAAGAACTCCCTGCAATAGAAGCTGAACAATGTTGCCTATCTTTGTGTTCAGGAAGGAAAGGAAACAAAGTTCAGGATTTGTTTTTCCTATTACTGTCCACCTATATGCATATTCACCCATATGTGTACAAGTATGTATTTCAATGTTATCAGTCAGGACTTGATAGGTTATGCTGGAGTAACAGACAACCTAAATATCTCAGCTTCTTTCCACTAAAGACCCATATACCAGATGCATGTCAGAGGACTGTCTCTACTCATCCCAGTTATTCAGTGATTCAGATTGATGCAGAAACCAACTAAAACATGTTTCCATGATAGCTTTGACAGGTGAAGAAAAAGATACAAAATTAGGCACAGTATTCTGTTGACTAAAGTAAGTCACATGGCCATAACTGACTGCCACAACAAGGAAATACAAATCCCCCATGTGCTTGGATGTAGAGATGAGCCAGATATAAGTGAACTATGAAAGTACTTACCCCACTTAATGTGTATAAAACTATGAATCAGTGTTCTGAAACCTATCTCACATCTAAACCATAATTGTTTTCATGCCTGTAGACATATATAAATGTGGCTGGAACACAATGAAATGCACCTCAATCCAAAGATAATATAAAATATTTAAGAAGATGTTAAAACCTTGGTTTACTTGGCCAATATCAATACCACTATCCACTAAATTCAAACAGTCTGTCTAAGAAAAGTGTATCTGCATTTGTTTATTGTGAAATCCGTAAGTCAATCTAAATGGATTCAGCTAAGCCATTCCACAAATCTCTATTCTGTGGATTAACATTTACTGCGGCTAAAGATTTTAGTGCAGTTGGAATCTATCAAATGCCATAGGCCAAATCTAAACTCTGTTAGCAAAGGTCAAGATTCGTGGAAATTAAATACAAAAAAAAAGTCTCTTAAAAAGTTACATTTTCAATAGCCTTCTTCAAATTTTGAAATGAATTACCCTTTTTTTCCTTAACATACTATTAGGTACAAAGTTTTACAAGAAAGCATTATATTCCAAAGGAAGTAAACCAGTCAAGAAATGTGGATCGAATTCTTACTATGTACAACAGCTCTTGGAATGTAGGTAATTTGTTTCTCCATTTGCAATCATTACTCAAGATCTAACCAGAATTTCACTGGTTGTTGGATGAGCCAGAATAGGTTAGCATGAAACCTGAGTTGAAAGTGCTATTTGGAATTGATGATCTTATAAAGTTTGTCAAGTACATAGTAGATGTATTATAGAATAATTATTACTCTATCAATAGCTTTTCCCCACATTTTGTTTCTTCAAGTATTATTTCTGGAAATAGTGACCCCACTCTCACCACATGTTTGAGCACATGATCTGGGGTAGGCTGTAAAACCTTCTGTTAAAGAAGAGTGA